AACAGCATGCTTAGAATAAAGCTCAAAATTTGTCTTTTTCAGGTCATTTTAAAAAGTTCCTTCGGTGAAATTTTTTAAAACTTTGCATAAAAGATAATACTTGTATAATAAATTTTTCCCCTCAATTTAAAAAAATTAAATCGATACGTTTCTTAGAAAATTTTAAAAACGTCAAAAATCAATATTAAAAATTTTCCCTTCGATTTAATTTTAAGAAAAAAGGATATTGCACTTGTTGTACCGATATTAAAAAATGTGCAAAGTTTTAAAAAATTTTACCGAAGGAAAACGGAGAAATTTGGGATTAATTTTGGCAATTTTTACTAGATTTTTACGCGAACAATTTAATACCCCAACTGACGTGTACATGCATTCTGCATAAAACAACAAGGCATGACTTTTTTGAAATCACAAAATATAAATTATGTTTGATATACTGTTTATAACTGTGTCGGTTAATGGTCATCTAAGCGTGGATTATACATGTAAAATTGGCAAAGATATTTAGGTAATTACTGGTTATGACTTCTTGGTATTAATTTGAAAAATGTTTGTCAAAATTCGTCCCGTGCGAGTTAGTACTATCGTCGGATGTTTTCGCAAAATGCCCGTTCAAATTTCACTTTTTATAGTGGTATGTTTGGAGTTTCGGCCCTGCTCATTTCACCCGTAGAGGGCTCATTATTTAAGTCATCTTTATTGTCATAAGTGCTGCTAGATTGTGGAGAAAACACTCCAAATTCTTGAGGAAACTTTATATCATATCCCAATGTTCGCGATCGAACCTCGCGTACGGCGGTTCAAAAAACTTCCAGAATACCGCTTGAAAAAAAACAAGTTTACATTTATCTTCTTTTGAAACATCACATCCAAGTATCGTTTTGGCTTTTAGAACTCTTTTTATGCTTTCAACTAAAGCAAAGTTCACACTTTTGTTTCAAAAAAGAGTTCCATATAAAACACAACGTTCGTTCGTATTTTGGTTTTGTAAAAAGTGCGCATCTTTACAAAGAGGACTGGTAAGTAGATACAATTACATTGCCTGGTTACCAAGTCAAAATTCGAATTGAAAGAGAAAGCTAGAAAACAAATTTGTTAGAGTTGTATTTTTCGTTAGAGTTGTATTTTTCGTTAGAAATGCCTGATAAAAAGAAATTTATTCGATTGAAAGGGAAAAAACGAAAGTTTCACGGCAACCGTCATGTCAAAGTCGAAATATTACCTGATTCTGAAGCTTCTAAACAGGAGAATATTGCTGAAACAAGTACGTCAAATTTGACTGCTGCTTCAGATGAAGTTACATCATCGAGCGCTTCAGAATTTAGGTCATTGCCTGCCTCAAAAAGGAAACTTGACTGTGATTCATCAAGTGAGGATGAAGAAGAATGTACTGATGGATTTCGACTAATAGATATATCGATTTTGATGTCTATTTTCAACACCTTTTTGTGCCCTAAATGTAAGTCGGGTCACATTGTTATGAAGGAAGACATAACTGCAAAGATGGGACTTGTGTCACAACTTTCGCTGGAATGTTCTGCTGAAAAGTGTTCATATTCTATGAGCTTTTATACATCAAGTCGGGTGAATAATAAGTCTAAAGCCTTTGAAGCAAATAGAAGGGCAGTGTTGGCAATGAGAAACATTGGAGTTGGTCACCAAGGGCTTGTGAAGTTTTGTGGTACAATGAACATGTTGGCACCTATGAATGCAAATTCATACACCGATCATGTGACAGCTATTCATGGAGCTGCTGAAGTTGTTGCCAAAGCAAGCATGAAAAGTGCAGCTGAGGAAACAAAGGAGTTTTATGAACCAGAAGAAGATGGGGTGTATGATGTTGGTATTTCTGCGGACGGGACCTGGAGACGTAGAGGATATTCATCTTCCTACGGAGTCGTTTCTGGTATGTCATTGGTTACCGGTAAAGTGCTAGACATTGAAATCATGTCAAAAGAATGCAGGGAGTGTATTACATGGAGCAGCAAGAAAGGTTCAGAGGAATTTGAACATTGGTGGGAAGGCCATCAACACAATTGCCATGCAAATTTTGAAGGCTCATCGGGTGCAATGGATGCTGCTGGCTGTGTGAGAATTTTTCAACGATCAGTTGAACAACATTCATTACAGTATGTGGAGTTTCTTGGTGATGGAGATAGTAAAGCTTACAATGAAATTACAGAAGCTTCAGTTTATGGGGAGAAACCAGTTACCAAACTTGAATGTGTTGGCCATGTGCAGAAGAGAATGGGGTCGCGACTTCGTTCCCTAAAGAAACGTTTGGGAAAGACTTATCTAAGCGATGGCAAAGGTATTGGTGGCAAGGGTCGGCTAACTGACAAGGTTATTGACAATTTACAAGTATATTATGGTAAAGCAATCAGAAACAATACACACAGCATTGAAGACATGGAGAATGCTGTTTTGGCAATATTTCACCATACCAGATCTACTGACACAAATCCATACCACAACCTTTGTCCTAAAGGAGAAACTAGTTGGTGTGGATATCAGAGAGATTTGGCCAAGAACACAAATGAATACTCGCACAGTCATCCTCTACCAGAAGCAGTGTCAGATTCAATATTGCCAGTATTTACAGATTTGAGCACGAGTCAGCTACTGTCTTCCTGTCTCCATGGTGGTACACAGAATCAAAACGAAGCCTTCAATGCTTTGATTTGGCAGTGTGCCACCAAGGAGACGCACTCAAGCCTGCCAACTGTAGAACTGGCAACTTTTCTAGCTGTTGGTATTTTCAACAATGGAGCTAAAGCCATCCTAGATGTATTGGAAAACCTAGGGATCAAACCGGGGTGTCAGACAAAGAAGTGTCTCAAGAAAATAGACTATGACCGTCTCTGCCATTCCACACGAAAGAGCTCCGACAAGCAAAAAAATAAAAGAAAAAAGATAAGACAGAGAAAAAAAGGCTATATTGACAACCTGTCAGAAAAGGAAAGGTACCAAATATGAAGCTGGGGCATTTTGAGCCTTAAACTTGAACTGGTTAGTTATACCAAACTTTCTGGCTGATTTTCTCAATATGTCATTTTCGGGCCTTTTTTGAATTAGTTTTTGTGATTACTAAAAAACTATAAATGGTATTGACCTGAAATTTTCACTGAGTATTCATGTGCCTATTAGTTATGCAAGGAACTAGGATTTTTTTTAGTTTGGACTATCCAAACAAAAGTTCTAGACATTTTGGTCAATTAACTTAGGTCGTTTTGCTTTACCATTATTCAGAATGCAAAATTTTTATGAATGCATGGTGATATCTAGTTGATTCTAGTTCCTTGCATAGCCCAATATGTGGTGATAATATCTTAAAAGTTTTAGAACCATACCTATTATATATTTCCCAATATCGAGTTTCTTGCGACCCCTTAATTTTCAATTACCGAAAAGTTGGCTTTAGTAGCAAGGGTGCTACACTCATGCAATTCAATACATATGCACCAAATTGTTTTTGGTTAATGGCCTAAGTGTGTTACTTCTGTCCCCCAAAAATAAAATCATTCCATAAATTCTGTAGTAATGAAACAACCTGTCAAAAATAGTCGATTTTTCCTATCTAATTTTAGACTAATTACTGTAATATATTCCACTAATTTAATATTTTATCATGTTTTTTTAGCCATCAGGGGTTTGATGTCAATTGGGGCTTTGCCCTGTTTCTTTCTCCTGTTGTCACTGTAAAGCTGATACCTAATTCAATATATTCAAATTCAAATAAATTCTAACAGCTGTAAACCAAAAACTCCTGAGCCGATACAGTTTTGCATAAGGGAATATGCAGTAACTCCCTATTTCTTACTGACCTGGCCATGGAGTTCCACATGTTTGTTAAATAACTCGCATAGATATGTGATATCCCAATTTTGAAAGTTCCACGAGCACATGTCCACGCACGCCATCGGCGAACTTGCAAAATTACCTAAATTCAAATGAATTTCCACAGGTGAGCTCGATCACTAAACAAAACAAATTATACATCAAAAGAAACCTTAAAACATATAGATTATGCACATACCTGTCGTTGTAGACATTTTGCGTTAAATTGAGTTGTATCTTGCTTTTCAAAATTGACTTTTGAAATACAAAGCCTTCTGCTCAAAAAGTTGAAGAACGACATAGTTCAGAAGAATCTTCAGGCTTTAAACTTTACGGTGGTGCTATTTTAAACCTGCATTCAGGACTGGAAAAGCGGTTGAAGAGGGACGGGTAGGTGAGTAAATGCGTGCCACATGATTTTTATGGTGGCGAAATTGCAAATATGCCTGAACTTTGATGCTTCGTAACAAAATAACTACGTCACTTCGGGCTTCGAAAATACACTCATTTTGTAGATTGAGATCTATACTTTCTTTTTAAAGATTAATTTTAAAATGATGTGTTTGCTTTCTTTTGCATAATAACACGCTGAAGGTAGCATATATGAGAAAATATTAACCAGAAATTGAAGCTGTTCCAAAGTGTAACCGACTTACGGTTGGAATCCCTTCTAATGTTGACACAACATCAAAACTAGGCAGACTATCAAGATTTGAATTAATCATTAATGATTAGAGTGTAGTAAACATATAACATATTCAAGTAGTTTATTATTATATCCATAATCTACTTATCTGTCAAGATCAAATAAGTTAAGAAATTCCATCCAATTGCTGCAAGCTAGAGATTGTAACTGCTTCACTACTTTCATCTTTACGCATCATTATTTTGCCATACAGTGTCCACAAGAAACAACATCCCTTATCTCTTTTGGCTTGTAAACAAACTTTGAATAATTCCTTTTTCCTTTTTGTCAAACATTCAACTATAAATATCTTGGAGGGAGTAGATCTAGAGTAACCCATATCTCTTGTGGCGAGGTCTTTCAGCTTATATTGCGTATGACTCGTCTCGTAAATTTTACAAAATATAGCTGGGTTGAAATTATTAGCATTACGTCCTTGAACAGGCAAACAGTGACTGATTGAAATATCTTCTTCTTTTATAACCACTCCGACCTTCAAGCTTATCTTCACTATTATTTCATTGGTATTTTCACCTTGAAGTTGCAGGATTCCTCTGATTTCAAGGCATTCTCTGCACCCATACTGTTCAAATTCATCTTGCAGCTCTCTTAGATTTGTTGCCTTAGCTAATTCCTTATTCAAAAATAAATTCTCTTTCTTTAAACCTTTGTTACTTTCCTCCAGTTGAGACACTTTGTGTTTTTAAGTTGCTCAAATTTGGCCAGAAACGGTGTGAGTTTACGATCAAGGATGATCTGCTCAAATTTGTCCATTTTAGGAACAGAAACAGACATTAAATACTGTAGCACCAAGTACAAGACAAAAAACAACATAAAAAATAAAAATGGATAAGGATTGAGACAGATTATATTTGTTCTTTTATAGAGCTCAAAATACACCGCCATCTTGCTACACGACCGCATAAATTGAACTAAACCGCGTAAACTTGTAGCAGTAATAATTCAAAATTCTCATGTTCCATAATAACATGTTTTAAAGAGGTCAAAAAATTCTCTCAAACTCTGGTGACCCCCCCCCAATATCGAACAGCTATTTAAGTTAAAGGACTTAATTAAAAATGCCAGGGATCTTCACACCAGACAAATGATCATCAGTTGATGGCACAGGTTGGACATGTGATGCTGGTTTATCAGGTCTTGATCTGTTTCCAATGGCAGGGCGTCTGGCTTAATCAGCTGATTCAGGAAGGTCACAATATCCTGCAGCAGAGTAGATCTGATGTGTCCATTCTTCTAGCTGGTCTAACACATCCACACAATCAGTATACTTTTTCTCATCCTTCATGAGAACTTGCATGGTAAATACTTCAGACTTCTTAATGGTCTGGGCTTTGAAAGGACATTCTGTTTCACCAGTATATGTGACTTAAAAATGGAAAGTTCTGGAAAATGTTCAAATCGAATGTTTGCCAATAAAATTCTATACTGACATCTGATTGAATTCATCTGAGATTCATTTAACTTGACCACTTCACAGTCATTGCATATTTTGAGTTCTCTCTGAGCACCATCATCAGGTAAATCACCATCAGGAACTTGTGCAAACACAACACTAATAGCCATAGCATGAACACTTTTGTTTTGATTATATGCCCTGACATCATGTGCTTTCTCCCCAAATAATACAGTACAGTATTAATTACAACAGTGGTATAGTGAGCAGCCTTACATGAAAATCGCAACTGTGACCAGCCAATTGTTGCAGCAGTATCGCAGTTAAACTTGATGGACAGTAAATTGTGTGTTTTACATGCATTTGGAATTACTACTGCTATTTGTCGAGCAAATCACAACAACAACGTGAACCAGTTGCACTTGACCAAAGGTTGATACATCCTGATCCTGATGATACATCCTGATCCTGATGATACAATGAGACGTGTCATCTTGCTGTAAACTGATGCAGAGATGAAATTGTTAGAGTGTGGTCAATACTCACTTGTGTTTTGTCTTCCAGAGGCAATTACAGTTGAACCTGTATTAAGCGGTCACCCTCGGGGATTGACCACTTAATACAGGTCTTCTAGAAAATCACACCACATGACTTAAATTGCTTGAAGAATACGTCCACACTTTCAATGATTATGGAAGTTCGAGTAATGAGATAAACAAAACTTAAAGACTTCATTATATATTCTATTATGTTTGCTTTAGTTACTTTGCACTGACCATTTAATAGAGTTTCAAAACAATGGAAAATTAAGTTTGGGACCATGGAAAATGTGACCGCACCTGCTTAATAGAGGTGACCATTCAATAAAGGTCACTTAAATAGTATTTATATTATGAAATTTTCGGAACTTTGCCACATGACCGCTTAACAATGGGTGACCGCTTAATATGGTGCCACTTAATACAGGTTCAACTGTATATCGAGCACTGAGGGTTTTCAACTGATGCAGTGGTTGTTGATGAGGCACATTGCATTTTAGAATGGTAAACAGTCTTGGTGTATGTTAGCAATTGCTTTGGTGTCCAAGCAATCCATACCGTGGCACAGGAGGGGTTACATTAATTTTACAAAGGGGGATATTTTTCAGTCAGACCTGAAATGGTTGTATAATGTGTACGAGTGCATTACCTTTTGTGCCCAAATTTTGTTTGTTGGTTTCAAAATGTGTACTTAGGTTGGGTAAAGATGCAGTAGCTACATGTACAGTTAATAGAAATAGACTGGTTAGGCTAGCCGGCCATACTTCAAAAGGACCGGAAAATTATGTTGAGAACAAGTCAAAATTATGTAATGTGACCAGTATTGTGCATCAGCAAAATGTCAAATTACAAGGAGCGCACACAAAATCCTCTAAAATTTCATATATTGATGCTTAAACAGTAGGAAAAGATAATGGAGAGTGAATCTGAATTCGGTGAAGGATATAACGTAGATGAAGAGCCAGTTGAGGATATTTACGAGCGCAGTATTTCTGTAGAAGACAGTGTTTGAAGCATTGGCAAGTGACTCGTTCGACGATATATATAATCTCAATTGATCTGTGGCTGTTGTGGAAACGGAAAGCGACAAAGTCAACTCTGAATTTATCAAGGCCATAACCAAAGTTGAAGGCAAAATCATTTCCTTGCCCTACATTGCACGAAAGTGTGCAAGTCGAAAGGAGGATTAACAAGACACACAAACTCAAAACATCGTACTGGCAATGTCGATAACACAGCAGCAAAGTCACTCAAACTTCAAACAGGAAATGCACTTGTCTGAAGTGTGAAGAGAGCATAGCTTCTATTGTCGAAGAAATAAAAACAAAACTTACTAACGACGATTTATTTGGACCTGACATAAATGCTGCTCTCAAAAGGTTTCTTCAAGTAAAGCTTTGTACGATGCTGTTTCGCCCATATACAATAAGTTTTGTCGGACGAAAAATCATAAGACTTTTATGGTTTATTGCCCATAGATCCAACCATATTTTCACACTGCACAGATGGAAATGTTGCCAATTTTATCATGATTGAAATTCCGGACCGCAGTTGGATATGTCAAGATTGCTGACTCTCGGAAGGAAGCAAGAAATAATCCTACACTACCAGAGGCAGAAAACAAAACTATTGAACTCAATCCCTCCGAATGTGGCCCACTTTCGTATATCACAGGATATATCGTTTCAAAGATGCATCAAAAATCAAGAAACAAAAAGGATACATGCAGTGAAGAATTGCAGGCATTGGTGCATTCTTTAAAAGCAACTGAGTGCACAAACAGTTTTATCTCTGCACGTAGCCGAGGAGGCCTTGGCTACCTTGTGAGGGTTTGCTTGGCATTCTAGAAGAAGGCAAGACTTCTTTTAGAAAACATGTCGGCAGAGGCGATCTGACTTTGAGAAATATTCCTACAGACCTGATGTGTTTCAACGTTAAACTCTCTGCTTGTCAAGTAATTGTCGGATAACATTGTCCTTGACTCTGGGGAAAAATTGCTGTTAGAAAATATCGTAAAATTATATTTGCAGGTGCATTCATTTTCTTATGCAAGAGATTACATAAGCAAATATAAAATAAAAGTAAAACAGACAAAGTCTAAAGCCCTTAGAAAACACTTGAAATGAAGCAAGGAACTCAATAACTTATAATTTATAGACATAGTGATAGTGATATAAAGTGAATCTCAAGCTAAACTATTTACATTAACAAGTTATATATTTACTAAATAATACTGTAATCAAATCAACAATTTACCCCTCACTTATAGTGCAATCAAAGAAACTCCATGTGTTCATCTTTATGCTACAATCTTGGCCATAAACCGTAGGACGAAGATAAATTTTTATGGCCTCCCCCCTTTCCCTCCCCCCATTCAATGTTGCTGTTTCGTGTATATTTATGATCTGATCTACTGTACAACAAAATTGTACGTGTACTAGAAATGTGGGAGAGCAACATTGAATGGGGGGAGCGGGGGAGGTGCAAAATGATTTTAAAACCCAAGTATATTAAAAAGTTGCGAATTTTTCTGTCGTTCTACGAACTTTTGGCCAAGATTGTCCGAAAATTATGTTTTTAATCCTTGACATATATGTGTATTAAATTTAGAACACCAGTTGTAGAAATATTCAAAAATGTACTTGTGTTCTTGTATTACTGGATAACACTTCAAAAGTCATTCTGGTATTCTTAAGTATTGAACGATAGGTAGATATTAATAAATATTGTATAGTGTAATTTGATACCGGATTTCTGGGTAGGGCCATAATCTTCTCTTCATAACCGGACAGTAATTGTTATCAAGGCAGACTGATACAACGTAATTATAGATATATTTTAGTATACATATTTTCAGATAAAAGCTACACACACCAATTGACAAATAGAATTTTTAATTAATCTTGCTGTGTAAGATCCAACATATCATAATTATAGATATAAGGAATATATTTTAGTATACATATTTTCAGATAAAAGCTACACACGCCAATTGACAAATAGAATTTTTAATTAATCTTGCTGTGTAAGATCCAACATATCATAATTATAGATATAAGGAATATATCGCGTGCTCAACAACAAATCATGTATATAGCCACGTAGGCCCACAGCAGAGCGGACACTCAGAAATTTCCCACAAAATAGAGCTTTGCTGATGCCGTTGTAGACGCATATACGGCGTCAGGCTTTACAATTCAACATTGGGTCGTCCTTATGATGTCATTGATAAAACAATCACAAGTTTGCCAAAACACATTGACCTAATAATTAAGTCTGGTGCCGTATCGGACAAAATATTAATCTATATATATATATATATATATATATATAAATGAACTCTAGTAGCTTAATAACTGACAGTACTCACAGTAATTGCTTCATTTTTCGCAACATTATGCGAGGTGCTTTTAACATTATACGCAGTGCTTCGGACATTATACGCGGTGGTTGAGACATTATACGTGGTCGGTAAAACATTATACGCGGTGCTTTTAGCATTATACACGCTGTAACTACTTGCTGTAATTTCAACATTATATGTGGTGCTTTTATCACTATTCGCGGTGCTTTTATCATTATACACGGTGGTTTCATTGTTATACAAGGTGCTCTTAACAGTATATGTGGTGCTTGAGACAGTATACGTGGTGCTTGAGACATTATATACGCGGTACTCGCAACATTATGCGAGGTGCTTTTAACATTATACGCGGTGCTTCGGACATTATACGTGGTGCTTCGGACATTATACGCGGTGGTTGAGACATTATATGTGGTACCTTCAGCATTGTGCGCAGTGGTTTTATCATACGCAGTGCTGTAACTACTTGCTGTGGTTTCAACATTATACGCGGTGCTTGAGACATTGTACGCAGTGCTTTTACCATTATACGCGGTGGTTTTATCATCATTATATTCGGTGAGCCAGTACTTTTGGTCAGCGTTTTGGAATTTGGATGATCGGATATATACGTTGTGTAATCATCTGGACACAGATCTGGCGCTGTCAAAATGGCGTCAGAAATTGCGTCCGTCTTACAAAAGTTGAATCTTGAGCTCTTCACTGAAAAGTTTGATATGGAGAAGATAACACCAGATAACAACAAGGCAGATACTGTGTTGGTGTGTTTTGTAGATGCTGTTAATGAGTATGGAACTGACAAAAGCCTTGGAAATGTGGGGATTGCACAGTTCATGATTCAAAATTGAGGTACTAAGCATGGAAGTGTTATAGCTGGGAAGAGCACACACAACCAGAGGATTGAGCATTTGTGGAGAGATGTTTATGAAGGATGTTTGAGCTTTTTCTATCAGCTGTTTTATTTGCTGGAGGAAGAAGATATTCTTGACCCTTTGAATGAATTACACCTGGCTGCCCTTCATCATGTACCTGTCCCCCTAATTAATGAAAAACTGACTGTTTGGAAAATAGCTTGGGCTCACCATCGAATACGTACAACCAGGTCAACACCTGCACAGTTATGGCTTACAGGTCAAGTTAACAATCCCGTAGGGCTTGAGGCTGTCGTTACACCAATTGAAGATCTGATGGAGAACTAGATGAAGGAAATGAGGAACAATCTGATGGGGATAGACCAGTTTTCCTTCCATTACTATCCGGTCTTCCTGAAGCTTGCCACAATGAACTTAATTCCCAAACCTGGACCAAATCAAACCATGAGATTGATGACTTTGTCAAAGCACTGGATATCATTAGAAGGCACGATGTGTAACCAATTAACTTGCAATTAATGAAGTTTTCATTTTTTATCTGGGAAGTAGGCTGATAATATAGGGATGGCTATCTTGCAAAACATTTCAGTTGGAAAAAATACACAGCCCTTTGAAAAACTGATGTCTGAAAAGTTACCGTGGATAAATATGTTAAAATAATAATTAATAATGCTTTCTTAATAAGGGGTCATTCACAAAGGATGTCCAAGCCGAGTGGGGGGAGAGGGGGCATTTGGAAAATCAGGTCAAACTTGGAGATAGGGAGGAGGGGAGTTTTAGCAATCTGGATGTCCGAATTTTAAAAAAAAATTCAAAAACAAATCTCTTTTCGCCTTTATTTTGAGCTCTCCTTCCCATTGTGAAATTGGCATTTTGAACACTTCATAATAGTATCCTTCAAATAATATTTCCTTCAATGATGAATTAAACAGTGTCATGAAATAATAACTTTCTGCATTTATAAGTCTTTTTGTATTCACATTTAGTTATAAAAAATGTGCTAAAAAAAAAAGAAAAAAAAGTGCTTTACTCTTGACATATACAAGGTTGCGTGAGTTTTTGCGAGACATGGTGGATGTCCGGGGGAGTTCTCTAATTCGGACAATGCCAGAGAAGGGGAGGGGGTCTGAAAATCCATCATTTGGCCGGACATCCTTTGTGAATGGCCCCTAATATTGTTACCAACCTATATATGCAAAACCCATAGAATGCCTTCAGTATTATATAAAATCAATGTACATAGCTCATCAACAATTCCTAACATATATATATATATATATATATACAGGGTGAGTAAAAAAAACTGATACCTTCGCGGCTAATTTGAATAACAAAGGTGTCAGTTTTTTTTCTTCACCCTATATATATATGTATATATCAATTTACATACTGAAATACAATAAAAAATTAATCTATTAACCCTTTAAGTGGTTAATGCACTCTGATGTGTCCTACCAGACGATTTTACTCGTCAAGTGGAGAATGCTGTCACTCAATGAGTTAATTACAAATCATCTATTCATAATGTAATTGAACTGAGTGGAGTGCAATTTGGACTGAAATCTAACGCGTGATTACAAAATCAATTTGTAATCACAAGTTTGATTTCAGTCCAAAATTGCACGGCACAAAGTTCAATTTCCATTATTTATTATATTCATTTTGAAATCTTAAACATTTTTGTATTAAACCGGAAACGTTTTTGTTTGCAAAAGACACACCTTCGGTACCTCCCTGAGTGCTGTAGCATAGCACCAATAAGCTAATAAAATGAACTTTAATAGTTTTGTATTTTTGTTTATAAATACGTTCAAATACTGCAAAAATCTTAAAGGAATGAAGACATTTATAAAGAATAAGAGACAACACAAGTAAGTTTAAACATATTGTAGGTCTTACGAGTGATAAGAGTTTTGGTGCAGTTTTGTGCGTTTAAAATTGGAAATAAGATAGGCGAATTTACCTTGTTTTCCCGGAGTCATGTCTGTCGTGGCACTTTAAATTTGCTTTTGTTGGCATTTTTGCCAGTTACTATTTGTGAAATCTCAAAATTCTTTGCAATTCTTTGATAGCTTACTGTAGCTATTCATATTTTTTTGCTTTTATGTGCAAAAAATTGCGTAGGCACTCAAGAGTAGTCATGACATATTAATTTTTTGTTTTTGCTCATTTGCCATATCACATTTTTCTTAAAATTCATTGGCTGTTTGAATCCTATGATTAAATATGATTGGTTGGCTGAAGTAAGCACTCTAATGTGATTGGTTGAAAGAAGGTGTGATTTCAACACATACACATTCGTGCTGAAATCGCACTCCTGTGAACCAATCAGATTGCAGGAAACACCATTGATTTCAAAATGAATACAATAAATACTAATATATTTTTTAAAGAGCTGACGAGAATGATCCGTTATATTTTTAAATAAGCTGATGATTAGTTAATGATTAGATAATAAAATAAACCAATGATTGGTTAACCCATTAAGCACCAGCGCTATCCCCTTGATGAGTAAAATCATCTGGTGTTAGACAGAGTAAAATACTAAAGTAGGGTGCATCAGGGTGCAATGCGACTCAATGGGTTAACTAGACACATGGGCAGATAGCCCAGTTAACCCATTAAGCGCCAGCGCTCTTCCCCTTGAAGAGTAAAATCGTCTGACGTTAGACAGAGTAAAATACTAAAGTAGGGTGCATCAGGGTGCAATGCAACTCAATGGGTTAATGCTGATTTAATTATTGCATGTCTGAATCATTGAAATATATCAAATTATCCCTTATTTTCAATGACACCAAAATATTTTGCACAATAGGCAATTCCAGCTTTTAGTTTATGCTTGCAGGGGATGATGGGAAGTAAGGTATCATATTGCCGATTTTGCTGAAAAATTTCAATAAAAACAACCGAAATATTTCAATATTTACAAGTATAAGCTATCAATCCGTGTTTACACGGCCACCATTTTTATTTTTTCAGCATTATCAGCAATGTGATACCTTACTTCCCATCGTCCCCTGCATGCATAAACTAAGAGCTGGAATTGCCTATTAGCCTTTCAAAAATTAGAACCAAAAATCAAATCTGTGTAGAACTGTACAGTGTTTTATCAAAGGTGCATTGTTAAATATTTCCAAAAAAGGCATTGGCAAATGCATAGTCATATAGGGAGTAGAGATGATCAGAGGTGCTGGCATAGGGATAAGGTGTGTAGCATGTGGTAGTGTGACTCCTAGTGGTAGTGTGACTCCTAGTGGTGGTTCTTCATCAGCACATGTCGTAAACATTAGTATATGAGCCAGGCTAATTGCGCCCTGTCGTCCACCGAGAAATAATAATACAATAATAATCATAAAGTATGTTACATACTGTATGACACATATTACTAAACAGTAGTTCTACAGTACTTCTTTTAAAGTTTAAACTGAGCATATTAAGGGACAATATCCAGATGACCCCCATTCCAAAAATAATCAATCATATATATTCATATGCTAATTTGCACTATATATTTTTAATTATTGTTTACCACCATTTACTTACTTGCAACTTGTCTTAAATATTTAAGAAATTCGGCGTAGATTTGATTCTCGAATTGTCTCTTGTTTGACCCTTCTTCACTGAACGTAGTCTTCAACAAGCTTGTTAGACTCCTCATCGTTAAGGTCTGGGTACTGGTAGGTTTAAGAAGATCCAAGAATATTGGAAGTTTACAGCCAAGCTAGAAAGATAGATGCAATGGAATAACTTATATTTTGTGTAGATATACTATATAATTTGTTCTCTGAAGCAACCTGTGAATTGAAACAACCTGCATGGAAATAATTTCGGTCCCAGCAGAACAAAATCTACTGTATATATGTATAATTATTGGAAAGTTTTCATATTGGATAAATTTTGTTGATACCAACCACAATTTCTAATCTTTTTGGTGAAATTGGGGCTTAATTTCTCTGGTCAGCTTATCACTTTTCAGTCAACATTTTTATATATACTTTTTGACATCAGTTCTAAACTCACTTGATATATTCCAACTTTCTTCAAACCTTGTTGCAACTCGGATATACACGCTTCATTAGTCCCCTCAGCAGAGAAGACTTTCTTCTTTATTTCCCCATCAATAAAGGTTGGAATTTTTCCATTTTGAATAATGCTCAATCCTGTTGCAAAAAAGCGACAATGTCAAGTTCCAATGAAATGAGGAGGGTGTGCCCAGTATTTTCTATTCAGGAGAAGAATATGAAATAATAAATGGTATTGCAGAGGTTTATTTCATGTAGATTGAATCAAATTTACTGGATAAAGTGTCATTTTATAGCCTCACTATATCATTGATCAAATTTAGAAATTTAATCTAGCTAAATTGTAGCAAATGGTGCACTCAGACCAACCTCCCAAGGCATTTAGGCAGGGCTTTTTCTCTGGTTTGCAAAGTTGCACTCGCACTGACAATCTGATCCAACTGGCTCCCATTATGAAATGCTTAATAAACTATTTACATCATATTTAAACACAATAGCTTACCTAGCTAATATTATGCCAACAGGTTCGTACTTCTCCTTCAATAAAATTCTAAGTCCATTGTCAAAAAATTTCTCCTTTATTTCCCTCAGGACTAACCGAAAGAATTCTTTTCTTGGTCCACCATAATCTTCTGCAACCTGTAATCACAAAGTGTGCAACATAAGGGAAATGATTTCCTCTAATGAGAGTACTATCTATACACAGATTCATATTAGTTGGATACACTGATGACAAACTTATTGGAAATGATATCTCTACATTTTGCACTATTGTACACAAATTAAGCTGTTACCACATATGTTACCGTGTCAAACCAAATATTTCCAGTTAGGAGGGGGGGGGGGGAACAAATTTTTACCTTTTTTCTTATAAATA